GGCCGCTGTCCTGTGCCCCCTGCTCTGGGTGAGCCTGCTTGGGCAGGGGGGTGGCACTGGGTGAGCTCCCGAGGGCCCTTCCAACCCCTGCCGTGCTGGGATTCTGTGAAGGGAGGGACTTGGCAGCATTGCATTGTCCTGGCTTTTCCAGTATCAGTTTCTGCTTCTGGAAGACTTCTCTAGTGTTGAAACAAACATATTCTAGTGTTCCTCTAGGGTTGGAGTCCTTGAAGAGCTGATGGCTTCTTTACAAAGCAGCAGTGATCTGCCTAGGTCTGCAGTTGGCTTTTCAGTTTGGATGCTCCAGCGTAAATCAGCCCCCTCGGCTCGGTGTGACGCCCGCAGGCTGGCATTGCTTCAGGAGACAAGCAGAGCTCCTTCAGCGGCCGTGTGCCTGCTGCGGGAGCACTGAGCCCTCAACAGATCTTTTTTTTTTTAATTTTAATGAAAAATATATAAAAAAAAAATCCACCCCTAGATATCAGGAGTTGGAAATCTGAGCAGAAACTACTAGAATGGAACATAACCCTTCTAAACGGTCTGAGAAGTTGGCTTTTAGCAGCAGATGTGGTCTAACAGCGCTACCTGGTGGAAGCACTTTTTCAGAAAAAGGAATTTTATGCCTAGGGTTTTACCAGTCCTTAGACACCCTCTCAAGTTTAAATCAGTCCTTCTCCCCCCTCCCCCCAGTCTGCTCTGTACATAAATCTGAGCTGCTTGGGATAGGCTGATAGTGAAAACCTGAGTGTTTTCACCTTTTTTTCCCCCCCTCCCCTTTTTCTTAAAGCAGTGAGAGGAGAAATAAGGGTGTACAACTGCAAAATGCTCTTGGCATCGCTTGTATAGACCGTGTCCTCTTTCGATGTGCGGTAAACCACCCAGCCGATACCTTCTACGCTTGCTGTGATCTTGGGAGCCCCTTTAAGGGAAATGTTGTGCGGGCTGGGGAGGCACGGCACTGCTTTTGGGGCGCTTTAGGCCACAGCAAGGGGGGAGGCGGGTATGTCGGTTCTTGGGGACGCTCCTTGAGGCAGTGGGTTCGGAGCTCTGCTATTCCCTTACCCGCTAAACCTGAGTCTTTTGGGATGGGTTTAATCTTCGATAGTTGGCCTTTTGAGGATTAATGCACCGTGCAGAAAATCCGCTGAGCTGCTGCGCTTCGGTTCAGATGTGAATTTGTCTACCAGCCTTCAGAAGAGTTAAGACTTCTGTTTGCCAAGTCATCCTACTCGTATTCTGCCTTCGGCCTCAAGGACAACCTCTGTGTTGGTGGCGTGAACAGATGACTTCATCGGGCGCGTGGAGCAGGGCTGGAACGTGAGCAGGGAGGGGGTCACTGGAGGTGCGTGGAAGCCTGTCCTGTTCTTGTCCTGGTCTGGGCACAGCCACTGCATCTCTGGCAATGCTCAGCAGACAAAAAAATCTTGATGCCCGCCGCTGTTAGCACATCCGTGTGGTAGGAAAGGTATTGCTTGTAGTGAAATGTAGCATGGGCTGCGTGGCAGCCTTTGCGAGGTCCCCCTGTCCCGTCTGCATTGCTCTGGAACCGCGGGAAGTCCCGGTGCCGAGCGGATGTTAAAGAGCAGAGAAGGGGTGGGAGGCTCAGCTTGCTGGTGGGAGCTTTGTTACAAGGA